GAGAGAGAGAGAGAGAGAGAGAGAGAGAGAGAGAGAGAGAGAGAGAGAGAGAGAGAGAGAGAGAGAGAGAGAGAGAGGTGGTTGGGGTTGGGGAATGGATGACAGACAGGCGACTGATGCGGTGAAGTAAGGGGAGCGAGCAGTTATCATGCACAATTTGAAGCTAGATTTTCCGCTTAAGTTTCATCTCACCCGGTGCAAAGATCTGAGCAAAACATATCTACAGCATAAACAGCAAAGCAGGCGACACATGTTGGCCCTTTGCGGATATTGAAGTCATCTCCTCTTTGCGAAGAATTACAGCTGAGGTCATTCCACTAGCAATCCCGTCCGGATCACGACCGTTCTACCGGCTACAGAGTGAAAGAAGTTCAGCTTTCGTCACAACTTACAGACCTCCAAACTTAACGGAAACAGACTTGTATGTAGTATAGCGGTGTATCTACGACGCTCTCACAAGGAGCTCCAATCTACCAGTGTGTTAATCCGCTAGCTTGACTCCACATCTTGGCCCCATCTCTCCCTTCCCCAGATTGCCCCTCCCTCCCTCTTCCTACCTCTCCCCCTTGCCTTTCTTCCTTCCGGCCCCTAGTTGTCTAAGTTGTGCCACCGCTCCGCTCAGCACCTCCGCCACTTGAAGTAGAACTTTTGCGTGAGCTTGAGATCTTGCGAGTCCATAGTGAGCAGTCCGTTACTCGGCAGCGGGATCTTTCCGGGATTCACTCGGACCTCCGAGTTGAGCTGAAGGTTCCTTACCACGTTGCAAGTGCTTTCAACGGCCGCGATGAACTCGTCGGCCACCTCGTAGTTGTCGTCGAACGGGCCGTTGAAGTTGTGCGTGGCGGAGGCCGTCCCTGGCAGGCCGGAAATGTAGTAGCTCGTCTTGATGGTGCCCTTGATGCCGGCGTCCAACTTACCGTACCCGCGCATGGTCACCGTCCCTAGGGTAAAGACGAAGCCAGGAGGATAGTTAAGCTTGACGGTCACGACACAGCTCTTCCGCATCTGCTTCTGGATGCGCCCCTCGGTGGTTGCAGTGTACTTGCTGAACATCACCGTCAGCGCCTGGCCGTCGCTGGAGATGGAACCTTCCGCAGATCCGGAGGGACAACCATCTCCGTTATAAGAGAAGCCTTCGATGCTGACGGTATTTGCCGGCGGAGCTTCAGCCTGTCCATGCACGGCCAGCTGGAGCATCGTCACCAACAGCAGCAGCGCCGCCATCGCCCCCATTGGGGAGAAGGACGGGAACGACACCTTCATTTCGAGAACCGTCCTAATGTTCGTCCTCGCCGGTCTTCTTGAAATTGATCGGCGCCAACCACCAACTGTCCACTCCTTTTTTTCTCTGCCAAGGTACGGGCAAGAGAGATCCCTCCCTCCCTGCTTCGCCAGCTGAATCTCCGACTGGATGAGGCTGCGCCAACTGCGTTTCAATCACTGCAGCCCTACCGTAACGATCAGATGCCAATCTACATGATGGAACTGGACGGTGGGATATGCGGTTTTATACGCAGTTGTTGTTAAGCTTAGCTATATGTGGTGCCAGCCATTGCTATAGGGGTTCGGTGGCATCTATGTGGTGCCACGCATTGCTATAGGGGTTCCTATAAGAATGGAGTTCCCGCCATTGCTATCGGGCTTTGCTATTGGACTCTCTGCTATTGCTGCGGCTATAGGGGTACAAATGCAGGAAATAGGGGGAGAGCTAAAGGGTGCAATGGAGAGTCCTGCAAGCACAGCTACCTCTCACAGGCAAGCGTTTGAATGTTGGCCACCAAATTGAAAGTAGAATCTAAAAGAGGGAATATAGATCGTTGAAAAAAAAAACAAAAGAACAAAAAAAAAAACGAGAATGCAATAGGCGGCGGGCGCTGCCCTAAAACTGGAATCGCTTCACCACACAGAGAACAGCGTATAGAAGAACTCCATGCTATTTGACACTGCTGCCCCCCCGTGAGGTCCAATAAGAAAAGGGATACCTTGAACAGCCAGATCGAAATAGTTCTCGACCATCTGTGGGGGAAGTAGACCGATGAGTGATGACTCGAGGGCGTTGGAACTTGCCGAGTCGGAAAATTTCACGCTCTTACTTCGCCACGTCCAAAACAATCGAAAAATTTTCCCACCGCAACTGGAACTGTCCTAGAAGAGACTTGGCCAGTGCGAAAGTGGGAGGATGACAGCTGCGAGCAGTCGCAATCAGGATGCCCGAGCTGGAAGGTTCYACTTGTGTGTTCTRRTAGTGCTARAAACAGAMGAAGTCAGTGCCTTGCGTCCGTTCTCCACGTTGCACATCGACATGAGAAGTTCTCGTTGAAGTAAAAATTCTCTCTCTCTCTCTCTCTCTCTCTCTCTCTCTCTCTCTCTCTCTCTCTCTCTCTCT